ACTTTTCTTTTATTTTTTAAAATTGTTCATATTTATTTATAAAAAAAAAAAGAGAAAAATAGGAGCAGGGGCGGGGGTAGGGCGGGAAAACCTGAACCCCGCCGGGGGCGCCCCGCCCCCGCCTTGGCCTTGCCCCATTACCATGGCTACCTGCACATAAATTAAATTAAAACAAACATCTGGAGCATGTTTAACTCCTCTAAGCAATAATTGCATCTCCATGTTGATTTGCAAGAAAACATCACGAACACCAATCACCTTAGACAAGTCATCACTACCCATCCTCAATACTCCAAAATCACATGGAGTATAAGATGTGAAGAACTCCTTCTTAGTTGTAACATTCATTGTAACATCATTATCTATTATCCACATGCTCTCATTAAATACATCATAATCGTGGAGAAAAACAAGATCATCATTGATAACAATAGTAACACAATCACCATCATCATGATCTCTCTCTCTCTTTACTAACCTTTTTTATCTTTATTCTTTTTCTTCCACAATAAACAATTCCTCTGTATATATCCTGTTTTGTGACAAAAGTGATACTCCACATTCTTGTATCAAGACTTGGACTTGCTCCTACTTTTGTCTCTACCACCCTTCTATTCTTTCTTTTGGCTTCTCCCCTTGTTTTCAATAACAAGCACCTTTGAATGAGATAAAGTACCTTATGTCTTCCTTTTCATCTCCTCATTAAGCACACCACTCTTTGTCATTTGCAAAGAAACATTACCATTAGAGGCAACACTAATCATGGAAACTCGAAAAGTCTCCCACAAATCAGGTAGAAAATTTAATAAGAATAGTCCTAATAATTCATCAAATTTTATACCCATTTTGGATAGTTGATCAAAATACCCTTGAAATTCACTCAATTGATCTGTAATGGGAGTCCCTTTCTTGTACTTCAACTCCATAAAGTTCTTCTGTAAGTATAATTTATTAGTCTCTAATTTAGAAGCATATAAGGACCCATGTTTATCCTATAGGGTTCTTGCATGTGTCTCATTGGCAATAAAATTGTAGACATTATCATTAACAAATTGTCTTGTAAACCTACTTGTATGTTGATGCTCAAAATCACATTCTTCATAAGAAGATGCAAATTCTTCACAAATAGTAAGTCCTTCATCTTGTCCTTCCACAAGTGATGATTTGTTTCACTCAAAGAAATCATTTTCGTGTATACATCTATCATTCAAGCAAGCCAAACAACCTCGTAACCAAAGAGCTCTAGTGCCACTCTGATGGGAAAAACTTAATACAATAACAACTCAATAAAATTGAGCAATAACGCAATAGAAATTAAATTCCCCTACTTGCAAGAATCAACGAGGAGCACCAATAAAATAGAACAAAAATAAATAATTCAAGCGCATAAGAAACACAAAGATTTGTAAAGTGAAAAACCTTTCAATGTAAAGGCAAAAATATAAATGATACCACTATTGGGTGGAGAAGCTTTTGTTGAGCACGGAGGGAGTTACCACACATATACACATGTCTCCACATTGGTGAGATATTGTCCGCTTTAGGACTAAGCCCTCACAGTTTTACTTTTGGACATCACTCAAAAGACCTCTTAATCAATGGAGACAATTGTGTGTATATAAACACATGTTCATCCTCTTGTTTGAATGATGTGGGACTTTGCTTGCATCCCAACAGTTTTATATAAGGGAGCATCCATACAATGGGTAGTGAGTAAATGAATTTGATATCACATATCAACTAAAAACTTTAAGACATTAAATAGGTGAATCTTTCTCACTTATATATTACTCAACATATTTAACTTTAACGGGTGTGAAACTCACTTTATACTTAAACTCCAATACTAACATTTATGCTTAAAAGTACCACAATATCCAAATCCATGAAATTATACAATTTTATTTTAAACGGTAGACCATCCAAATCCATGAAATGCATTATTAATTTGCACCTAATCTTGTGGGTGCATGGATTCTTTGTACCTCTGGTTACTCTACCTTCTGGTTGTTTTTCGCCCTCAGTTCTAGATTGGATTATAACTAGTGCAGATTAACTGATGGGTACACTCTTACAGAAGGTAATAGCAATCAGAAACTTCCTGAAGATAATGTCAACTAAATAATTCGGTAGACAAAACTTTAACTTGAAGTTTTTGGTGGGAAAAAACGAGATCAGAAGTTAAAAATATATATGATCGTTGAAATAAAATAATAATAGGGATCAGAGGATTACCTATACTAGATCAGCAGAATTTTTCCTCTCCAATCCAATGTAATTACAAGTTTCCGACCAATATGAGGTTTGTTTTTGTGTAACGAAAGAACATCTTTCGTGCTGCAACTACGGTGAAGTTACTGTGAACTCATTTGCTGAGTCTTACAAATGTCACATGAGACCAAAGAAGTTAACAATTTTGCTCTTTAATATTGTAATCTTTAAGAATTTAAAAATAAGATCTGCTGCAAGTGTGAATATAAATTCTTACTTGACATGAGAATGGGTAAGTTAAGCAACGTATATCCTCCTCTTATCCTATTAACAGGTGATATCAGTGCACTACAATTGTCTCACAGCATGTATGGAGAATTGGGAATGTGAATTACATATAAGTGAGAAGACCCTCTCCAATCTCAACACTAAAATTGTCTCACAGTTTTTAAAGATTGTTACTTGTATGAGCAATGATTCTATACCGTGACGAAAATATTTTGAAATGCCTCAACTCATTTGCAAAAACCTCCAACTTTTTTCTAGGCTTCATGATCAAGAAGTCATGATTCAATCTATTGTTAATTCTTTCAAGTCAATCATATCGAAGTGTTGTTTTAATGGTAAAACCATTCTCCATCATACTGAAAAGTAAAACTCGCAAAAAAAAAAAAAAGTATTTTTAGAATAGTATAGAATTTCAAAATTAAGAGATTTTTTTTAACGTATACCTATTTTTTAACAAAGTTGTTTGAGGAAGGTCAGGATTGAATATAATATTAGTCATAGCTAATACAGTTTCAATAACTGCATCCCCTGAAAAATTAAATTAGGATCGTAAACTTTTAAAAATAGATGAAACATAATTTGAAAAGTATATTAATATATAAATTAGTGATATGTTTCTAAAAGAAATGTTGAAATTAGGACTAACCAAACAAAAAGGAACCATATGGCAATATCTTTGTACATTGAATTGCCAAAATATGCATGTAACCACTTCACTGTGTCAGCATATTGATCACATAAAGCACATTCAAATTCGCCCCTACATAAATAAATATATTTAGTTAATAAAATTAAACTTTATATCATACATCAAAAGGATGAGTAAAATCCAAATTATAATAAAATAATGGTTAAAAACATTTAGATACATACATGCACATGTGATCATTTAATTGCAAGAAAATCTTTTTCACATTTCTATACCATTCTTGATATAATTCCTCTCAGTTGATGTTGCAGTAACAAATCCAACAACGTCTATAAATATTTCATGTGATCACATGAGAAAGTTGTTAGCAGATAAGATTAAGAAAATAAGATTATAAAGATAATATCATTTAATAACTTTATTATAAAATCTTACCTATTGAATAAGTTGGATTGTTTTTCAAATCCAAAACATCTTTAAATGACACTGGAGTTAGCCCAATTATTGTCAACTTTTCATATTGAATCCATGTCACGATAGAATATATAGTCAAAATCAATCTATAGTCATGGTTAGTCATTCGATATACACCGGAATTACTCACAACATTGACAGTTTGGGAAGTATAAACTCCTCCATCTTCTATTGATAAACCAAGCAAGTTGAATACATCCTCTCTGATTGAGGCTTGAATTTAATGTCCTGTCAAAGATAATCAAAATAAAAATTCTTAATACATTATTTGACTAATTTAGGGTCCCAAGATATATACGATGCAAATTCTGGTACAATTTTTTTAATTCTAAAATTTCATCTACACATCATTTAGTATATTATAGATATTGCATAATTATTTAAGTAGTTAAGGCTTATTTATTTTTAGATTTTGATGAAAGGAACTAATTAGTATATTAAAAAAATGAAAGAATATGAAATTAAATAAAATTATATGATTCTGAATTAGAAATTAATATGGTATGAAATGAAAAATGAAAAAAAATGATAAAAAATTCAGCTGAGAATCAATTGTAAAATACCAATTTGTGTTTTGAAGAAAGATGGTTAATAAAGATATTGAGGAAGGTGATTATGGTAATAAAAGTGAGAAAAGAGAGAGGGAAGGAGAATGGAGTCAGAGTCAGACCCATGGTTGGGATTGGACAAGGCTTATCACGTGCTGATGTGTCTCTCCCTCACCTTCCTCTTTTACGCCCTCGCTTCTCTCACTCCATACCGCCGCCACGCCATTTCGATCGGATCTCTACTTTCTCTCCTCGCCGGCGCCGCCAAAGAGGCCGCCGATCACCT